GCTCTTCCTCGACAGCACCTGCTGGCCTTGGGCCCCCGTTTTCATAGCTGGGTTGACACACGACGGCCTCTCGAGTTATTTTACAGGCCGATTTCAGCTTGTCTGGTCCTCTTAGAAAATGCCCTCTTTCCATCACCCAAAACTATCTTTAGGGGTGCTTTGTTTCTCCCCCAACCCCGAGGCACGTGGTGAGCCCACAGAAATGCATGATTGAATGAAAAATAACCAGGAATCGGTATTTGCACATAGTTTGTAATACCTGAAAATTGGAAACTGTGCTAACGCCTATCAGTAGGAAAACGAGTAAGTAAGTAAGAGTACCTCTGTTTTTTGACGCGATTATAGTCTGAAAAGTTGATCTGTGGTCTGATGAGAAAGAAGGCGGGGTCGTGGTAAATGGAAAAACTACAACTGGCAGAACTGCACCTATGTAATAACACCTTACTTTATATTATTTTTTGCTATAGGGTGTATGTGCTCACTGGAGAAACAGAGTGAAAGAGAGAGAAAAATAGTGAGGAACACCCCCCCACCCCCAGGAGGGAGCCATAGCCCCAATTTGGGCACCTACACTCACACCCTAGTGTGATTTTCAAGCCCCCTAGTGTGATTTTCAAGCCGCAAGGTCTAGGACTCAAACCTCCGAACTGGCTATGTGGGATCCAGCTCATAACTTCCATACCACAGGCTGGCCTCCCATTTCCATTATTTTAAAAATTAGTTCTGGGACCCTGCAGGTGGCATGGTGGTTGGGACTCTGAACTCCCACATAGCTGGCCATGGTTCGAATCTGGGACTTGGAGGCTTGCTGCTGCTTGCTTTCTCACTTACCTTTCTCTCTCTAAATAAGTAAAATTAAATAATTATGTTTTAAAAGATTAGTTGTGTGGGACCAGCAGATGGTGTAACAGACTCGTTGCTGGACTCCCAATGTAGTCTCAACCTAGTCAACCAGGGTTCAAGTGCCAACCAGCAGCTTAAAACTCATCAAACTTGTGCCTGCTGTCCAATATCCCTAGAGAAGAATAGAGAAGGGATTGCAGCGTGGCCATTCCCCTGGGGGTTGATTTCCCGCTTTCAGTCTCTCTCTGTCTCTGTCTCTCCCTCAAACACATGTGCTCTATAACAAAAATCTCTTTTAAAAAAAAGTTGCACTTCAGGCCAGTAGGTGGCGTGGTGGTTAAAGGAGCTGGACTCTCACGTGGTCGACGGAAGGTGGAGTCCCAGACCTGGCATCCTCCTTTCTCATTTCTCTTCTCTTTCTCTTTCTCTCTCATGCTCCATAACAAATTAAAAATAATAATGATAAAATTCAGTAATTAATTTTTAATTACTTGCATTTAAAAAAATTACTTATGCTTTTGCAAGTAGGAAAGTACATTGTTAAAAAATGGGGGGCAAGGGGCCAGCAAGTGGCATGGTGGTTTAAGGCGCTGGACTCCCACATGGCCAACCATGGTTCAAGTCTCGGACCTGGTGGCTTGCTTGCTCACTTCCTCTCTCTCTCTCTGTCTCTCTCGGATCAAACTGGAAAGTAATAATGATAATAATAATAAATAAAGTTAAATAAAAATATTATTTTTTGGGACCAGCAGTTAGCGTAATGGCTATGTCGCTGGGCTCCCATGTAGTTGACCGCGGTTCGCGTCCTGGACCCGGTGGCTTAAAACTCACGCTGGGCACATGTGCGTGTGTGCCCAAGATCCCAGGAGGAGAATGGAGGAGAAGGGATTGCGGCGTGACCATCCCCCCTGGGGGGTGATTTCTCGCTTTCTGTCTCTCTGTCCCTCTCTGTCTGTCTGGCGAGCACACACACCCTATAGCAAAAACCTCTCCAAAAATAAATAAATAAATAATTGTTTTTTTTTAAAATGGCGGGTAGCAGGTGGCAAGGTGGTTAAGACGCTGAACTCCCACATGGCCGACCACGATTTAAGTCTTGGACCTGGCAGTTTGTTCTCGCTCTCTCCTCTCTCTCTGATCAAATTGAAAAATAATAATAAATACAAGTTTAAATAAAAAAGGTACATCGTTTTAAAACACAGTAAAAATACATCCCAAGCTCTCAACAGTGGGATGGGATGCAAGGAAAGGGGAAGAAGCCTTTCACTTTTTATTCTACATATTTCTGTATTGTTTGAATTTTTAAAAGATGAATGCATCTATGTGTTACTTGCATAATAATAAAATTTAAAATTTCAAAATTTCACTTGGAGAAGTGTCTTGGGAAAAAGGAAGGAAGGATGCCCAGCAGCTGTATGCTGGATTTGAAAGCTGCTTCTTTCAGGATCAATGAGTTCTTGTTGATTGAGTGATCCATAGGGAGTAGGACAGGGCTAAACCCACATGGCTGGCCTCCATGCAGCTCAGAAAGGGAAGTTTATTTATTTAAATGTGTAAATAAGAACTATTCCAACTTGCCTGAAACAGAAAAGGAAGGTTTTTTTCAGGCATATGGGAGAGAAAAGGGTAAAGAAAGCTTCTACAAAAGGTCCCCAAAGGGCCCAGGAGTTTTACTCTTCTTTAACCTCAGCCTTTTCATAAATAAATAAGGAGTGATGAGGTAATTAGATCCCCAACCATTAGTAACGGAGGAGGGAAGAAGAGGAGAGGAAGTCCAGCTGGAATGGCACTTGATCAAAGATCAGTCTTAAAAGACAGATAAAATCAAATCAGCAGGCCTTCCCTAACTTGGAGCACTTAAGGAATTAATTGGCTGACAATATCAAGGGCATCACTGCTCTGGGAGTCGTTCTCCGCAAATCTGTCACAGAAAACCTGCCACTAAGGTAACTGCTTCACTGCTCAAAGACACCCTAGGACCCACCTTAGCTGGCCTGAACTATCATGAATGCACCAAAGAGGAATATTCACCTCCCCCAGGGCCCTAGAAGGCCTTGACGATTCTTTACCAAGCTCTGACTGCTGGCACTGTGACGGGGCCAGGGCGGAGCAGAGAGGGAATCCATGCTTAGGAAGTAACCAGGTTGGGAGGCGAGGCCAGACCCTAACGTTCAGCTCCTTAGAGTCATAGCTAACCCCCATCTGCTTGGGGACAACTGCAACAAGGAGGGCCTGTTTTGCCATATGGCCAGAACACTAGTATCATAGAATTGTATTCCTAAGGGGCAGGCAGGTGGCTTGGTGGTTAAGGGCGCTGAACTCCCACATGGTTGACCACATTTCAAATCCAGGACCTGGCAGTTTGCTTTCTCTGTCTCTCTTTGCTCAAATTTAAAAAATAAATAAATAATTGGGACCAGCAGGTGGCGTAATGGTTACTTCATTGGATTTCTACTTAGTCAATTGGAGTTTGAGTCCCAGATCTGGCAACTTGAAACTCAGGCTGGGCTCATGTGCATGCATGCCCAAGGTCCTGAGAGGAGAATGGAAGAGAAGGGATTGCAGGGTGGCCATCCCCCGAGGGGGGGGGAGGTGATTTCTTGCTTTTTGTTTCTCTGTCTCTCTGGTGAGTACATGTGCCCTATAGCAAAAATCTCTCAATAATAATAATCAATAAGTAAATAATTCTTTTTAAAAAATAATTGTTTATTTAATTTTATTCATTATTATTATTATTATTATTGTTATTTTTTAAAAAATTGACCAGAGAGTGAGAGAGGAAAGTGAGAAAGCAAGCTGCCACGTCTAGGACTTGAACCACAGACAGCAATGTGGGAGTCCAGCTGCCTTAACCCCATGCCACCTGCTGGCCCTAAATAAATAATTCTTTAAAAAAAGAAAATGATTTCTAAAACCTTGAGTGAGAAGAATCTTCCAAAAATTAGGCAAACCCAGGAAACTTAATGGAAATGATTGACAAATATAACTACCAAAAAAGTAATATTTTATAATGCAGTAGATACCAAAAGCATCAAAAATAAATGATAACTAAGAAATGTATAACTTTTATGAAAGATAAAGGTTTACCATTACTACTATACCAAAAACCTCTCCAAATTATGAGAAAAGATAAAGAAGCAAGCAAAGGATATGAACAGGCAATTCTAAGAAGAGGAAATCCAAATGGTCAATAAATGTTTGAAAAATTGCTCACAACGGTTCCTGACCAGGGGATTTCCAATGAAAGAAACAATGAGACAGCATTTTGTCCATAGTGCATTGATGAAAATAGAGAAGGAACGTCTGGTGCCAACGAGCATGTGGGAAAATGACACTCACTCCTCGCTGCTAGGGGAGTAAACTGCTTTAATCCTTTTAGGAAGTGGGATGACAGTACATACTAAAACAGTCCCCCAGGGCCAGCCAGGTGGCATGGTGGTTAAGATACTAGATCCCTTGGGAACCAGCAGTTAGCGTAATGACTATGTCGCTGGACTCCCACGTAGTCGACTGCGGTTCGCGTTCGCATCCCGGACCTGGTGGCTTAAAACTCACGCCGGGCGCATGTGCGTACGTGCCCAAGATCCCGAGAGGAGAATGGAGGAGAAGGGATGGCGGCGTGACCATCCCCCCTAGGAGGTGATTTCTCGCTTTCTGTCTCTATGTCTCTCTCTGTCTGTCTGGCAAGTGCATGCGCCCTATAGTGAAAATCTCTAAAAACAAACAAAAAAAGA